CAGATCACTGCTCGGGAACTAACTGGGCATCAGTTGGCAAGTGGCGAGCAATTGCATTGTGCATCACTTGTCTTGTATATTCCAATTCTTTTATTATTGTTATTATTGTCACTTTATTATTATTATTATCATCACTATTATTATTTTCTTCCTTTCTGTTCTATTAAACTGTCTTTATCTCAACCATGAGTTTTACTTTTTTTTTCCTGATTCTCTCCCCCATCCCACTGACTGGGGGGTGAGCAAGCATTTATGTGGTGCTTAGTTGCAGGCTGGGGTTAAACCACAACAAGGAATAGGAACAGTTTGCATAAAAACCAGTAGAAGTACTTAAAATCTGCATAAGTGTGCATTTCCAAGACTATATTTCAAATTCAAGTGGAATAAGAAGGCAGCTGTAAATGCAATTCAAAATATCTTTTAAAATATTCTGTAGGTATATTTCTGTAACGTGCATTTTTTCAGAGGACCATTGTTGCCAGTTTTCTGAAACAATTTGTTTTCTAGCTGTCCAACTGTGAAAGCCAGCTAGTGAAATTACGGTCGGAAATTGAGAAAGGAGAGGCTCTTCGACAAAGTCTGGAGTATGAACTGGCAATTGCCAGAAAAGATGCTCGTCTGAAAACATATGCTGCAGAAGAGGAATTAAGTGATGCAAAAACCAAACTTGTGGAACTGCAAGGTAAGTTTCAAAAAAAGCAAACATGGAACAAAGACTAAGTGAGTTCCAAGTCAGGAAGACAAGTGAGAAGCAGTGACTTAATTAAATTTTCTAGTTATTGTTGTTTTTCTTGGATCGCTCTTAGCTTTCCCGTCTCTTATCCATCTGCTTTTGTAAACTCATAGGAGTTTACAAAACTCCTGCTGTTGCACGTGTGAATTAAAACTAACCTGCTAAACCTATCAATGCTCTTTCCTCTTGCCTTTTACCTTCTGTTGTTCCCTGTTTCACTGCTGTCCTTGGACAGAATTGTAATTGTGGTGGCTGTCTCCACATCCTGGTTGTCACTATGCCCAGCAGTTCTTCTTTTCTATTTCAGGGAGAAAAAAAGTCCATTCCTGTTCATTTGTTTGCACTATTTCCAAGAAGTTTTTTCCAGAGGTTCTCATCATGCTGCTGCTTTGTTTCATCTTTCCAAAGGTTTCAATTGTTGTCATTGCTCATGTCTGGTTTCTTTTCTTCTTATCATCCTTATTTCTCTTTTTGTAGGTAATGGAACATGTATGTTATGACAGTAGTATGTGGAAGGGAAGGTTTTTACCTAGACCTTTTTTCCCTACTAGTTTTGTATTCAGAAACTCAGATTTCCTTGTTCTTCCTCAGCAGAGAGAGATTTCTTATTCTTACAAGTAAGTGAGGTGCATTTTTAATTACTTAAGTAAGTATGGTACTTTTGTAGTCTAGTGTAGGAGATGTATTTGTGAGTGTGCTGAACCATTAATGTTCCATGAAGAGTGCTCCTTGTGGAGATTTTATGCGTTGAAGAAACTTACAAATACTTAAAGAACCAGGTGTTTTTTAAGATAATTAGAAAGCTGAACTTTTCACTCATTTGGAGAACACATAAGATTTTGGGGGTTTTTTTGTTTTTTTGGGGGTTTTTTTTAGTTTTTTTTTTGTTTGGGGTTTTTTTTTTTTTTTTGGATTGCAAACTGGAAGAAGGCATTTTTTTTCCCTTTGGAAATTCTCTTGTGATTGCAAGCTGAAGACTTGAACTGCTAGTTTCTCACTTAGAGGAAAGCTATGTTTCATCCTGTGTATGCTCACTTTACTGCTAGTTTGCTTGCCAGTTTAGGAACTGTGTGTGTGTGTGTGTTTATTCTAAAATACTTTAATTTTCATTTTGTGATTCACTTTATTATTCAGCAAACTCATTGGCCGCTGTATTGGGCCCAGCTGGCAGGTGTCATTGGTAGGTGTGGGTCTGTGGGGCAACCTGTGTGGGAGCGAAGAGGTCTGGGCCTGCCCAGAGCTGGTCCTGGCCAGCTCCGCAGCGGGCAAACCCACCCAGCACTGCGCACCAAACCACCCACTGGAGAGTACCTGGTGCCTCTGCCAAAATGTGTTTCAGAAAGGGTGGTAAATGCCAAGAGGAAGAGAAAAAGAAGAAGAGAAACAGCAGGAGAGACGGGAGCAGAGCAGCAGTCTGAGCAGGGGCTGGGGCCGGGCCGAAGTAGTGACTGCCCATGCAGGCACCAGGAGGCAGGACTCGGAAGGGACTGTTGCTGATGGAGGACCCGCAGCACAGTGAGCCCAGTCTGCTGTGCTGCCTGGCACCTTCCTGAAGGGACTGGGCTACCATGCGGTGATGGGACTGGAGAACGAAAAGGGGGTAGGATAGGTTTTGCAGTGGGATGTTTTCCTAAATGTGTGTGTGTGTGTGTGTCTGTGTGTGTTAGTTTCTTTCAATACCAGAATCGGGAATTAGAAGTCTGTTAACTGTTACATTGGTTGAAATTTCTCAAAATGTTTTTTTCTTTTTTTTCTCCTGTGACAGGTGCCAAAGAAGTTAAATAATCATGGTGTTGCTTCTCAATTATTTTGCAGTTTATAACTTACTGCTTGTTTTCCCATGTCACATGTCACCTCATTTGGTGCTTTGATGTGACCCTGACTTAGCTTCTTGGTCAGAAGGCCTTATTTGTAGCTAGGCCTCTTCAGTATTTCCTCCAAATTGTTTTTCTGCTGTTCTCACTGAGGCTTAACTTTCTGCTGTCTGACAGTCCTTTCCCATCATTGTGTCCACTGATTTATGTCATCTTAATGTGCCTCTTCTGTTCATTTTATCCTTCTCCAACAGGGAAGAAACTTCAGAAAACTGGCATGAATTTGAAATAAAAATCTGTTAGAAAGTGGTGATCACTTAAATGCCGATGTAGGTAGCTGTACTCAGCAAAATGAAAAGCCGATATAAAGTACTTGCATCTGAAAGCTAGTATGTAAAATAAAGCAAAGTTGCTGGTCAAACTGCTTAAATAAATAGGCATAGGTAATGAAGCTTTCTGCAGCATTTAAGCTTTCACAGAAAAGTATATACAGTGTTCCCCTCTCTCAAGGCATTTAATGTGCTGAAGATTTACATCTCTTGAGCATCAGTAAATTTCCTTGGAAAAGTTAAGTCTTTGCTCACTAGCCCAACCTGCCTTAGGTTTTCCTATAGTCCCTTTCATGGGGCAGGTGCCTATCTTTACTGTCACTTAAACTGAGCTCAAAATTAATTGATACAGACTAATACCTACATCAAATAAACATTGGCAAATAAGCTGGCCAAATATTGTAGAAATCTGAAATTAAGTCCTCCATGCTGTAGAGACCTCACATGAAAGAGTTGCCTCAAGTTTTTATTCTTCCCAGAGGAGAAGAGTTTTAATTTATAAAAAGCTCTAAAGCATTCCTGTGTCCTTGTGTGAAAGGTGCTATAGGACCACAAAATTTGATTGTTTCTTTGTAGTGAAGGTCGTGCTCTCTGGTGCTCAAAGTGTTAATGTTGCAATGTTCCACAAGATATCACAATACACAGAAAAATTGACAATCATTACACCTTTTTTTTTCTGAATATGCTTTGCAGTGCTACATGTCTTCTTCCTCTTTTTCTATAAACAGTATTGAATGAAAAACTTCAGCAGAAAGTGGCAGAGAGTGAGAAAATGTTTCATATTGCTCAGCAGAAGTGGAAAGAACAACAGCAAAGACTTGCAAGTGAGAAGGATGATATCCGCAAAACTTGCAACAGTGAATATGAATTGCTTCTTAAGGAAAGAACCAAACTAGAAAGTGTTTTGCAGGTATGATATTTTAATAGTTGAAAAGTTGCATGAGATGATGGCTGGAACTTTTCTGGTGCAAAGTGTGTGGTGGGTTGGGGTTGTTCTGGTTTAGGGAAAAAAAATCCCCCAAATACCTAAACACTGCAGAATACTTCTGAAGAATATAGCTTTATAAAGTTACACTTACTGTGTCACAGTATTTCTTGCTTTGATGGAATATGTTGTGGCTGATTTTCATGGTAAACACCTAAACCGAGTTACCAGTGGTAGTGAGGCCCATTTGCACTGTTGTGCAAAGCTGAGTTAGTAAAACTGGGGGCACCCAACACCTAGCTTCTGACTCCATTTGCCTCTTATCTCCCCCAGTCTGACATCTAATAGCCTGTAAACACCAAAATCATGTGTATAATACAGACACTACACACTGTCAGGGAACTCAAAATAGTGGTGATGGCATTTCCAGCTGTGCAATGTACATTATTCGCTCCATGCCACATATGAAAAATGACTGTTGTTGGAAATTTTGCCGTTTGGTTAGGAAGAAATCATCTAATACTAAGAGATGGCCTTATTATCTGTTTTAGACTGAGGGTTTTTATTCTTCAGATAACTAATTTCATTGTATTTCATGATATAAGTAATTTTCAAAGTTGAGTTGCACTGGTATGCATAAATCCCTTAGGTGTTAAATGTGTAAAAAATAATAAAAATACAAAATTCTTTTTACACTTTTTTATATAGTCAAGCTATTCAAAACTGAATTAAGTTTCAAAGAAATCTAGCAGTATTATGGCGTGGAAGTGCTGAGTTAACATACCCAATTTTTACCGGCTCCACAGGGCACAGACAATTCACAACTATAATTTAATAATTTTAAACTTTTTAATTGACAACTGAATTACCTAATATCTTAGCAATATAATAATACCATCTGAGGAAAATCAAGAATGTATTCAGCTATAGTTATCCTTTATGCTTTTAAAGAAGTGTAGTGCAGAGGCTCTGTTAAGGCTGATAGCCATTTAGTCATATGCATGACATACGCAGAGAACAGAGTGCTACTAAGAGATTGACTCTCTTCAGCAAGACTTTTTCTTTTTCAATATTGCTATTTTCTTCTTTTATAGCTCCTCTTCAGATGTGGCAGACTTGTCTCAGTTGGTCTGGGCATTGGTTAAGCAGTAGAAAATTAGCCCTACTTTCTTCCTGCCTGGTCAACTCCAAGCCTGGGACAGGCCGAGACAGTGCCAAGCAGTCTTCCCAAATGACACAAAACAGTGCTTACCTGGCAGTTTGATGGCCAACCTACCTGTTGTACTACATCATGGTGCTGTTGGTCAGATGCTATATGGCACTTGTTGGAGCAGCTCTTAAAAAAACAGGGTAGAGAGAATCCCTTAATTACGTGTATTCCAAAAGTACTGTGTACTGACTCTTCAGCTGTTTGTTTGAAGGCAAGAGCTGGAAAGAGAGGTGCAATAATGAGACCTGAAGTAGAAATCAGGTAGTGTGTGGATATGTAGTGTTTCTGTGCATGGGCTGCAGAAGGAGTTGTACTCTGTTGTTACCTTAATGACCAGTAGCCCTGATGGTGGAGAAGGATCCCACTGAACTGGATCTTCTCTGAAAGGACAAAAAGTAAGTTCCTTCCTCTCCCCAGTAATTTTGTGGATACGTTGAACAGTGCTTTGAAGGAACAGATAGGAGAACTATAAAGGAATAGGTAAACAAAACAAAAAAAAAAAAAAAAAGAAAAAGAGAAAGCCAGGGAAGGAGAAGGCTTCAGAGAAAAACATAGGAGTTGATGGACAGGTGACACCCTAAGGTCCTCAAACCTACAGAAACATGATGCAGTTTTCATTCAAAGTTGATGCTTAAAAAAGGGTTAGGTATAGGCTATGAAGAAAGCTATTTTTTTTAAGTTGCCAGGTGAAGTAGGCTAAGAGTGCAGCTTTGGCTCTGAGTTCTGGCTGACAATAGGCTGAGTTAGGTTGAGGAGGATTTGGAATGGACTCATCTTCTGTTCTATACAGTGTTTTGTAGAAGCCACATTCAGTGAGTTTAATACTGTATAAAAAATGCAATGTTGGAGAGTTACACGCTCTCAAGTCATGTTTGGCCTCAGATTGAAGGAACAGTGGATTACTTGGGACATAGTGTTCTCTGTCAATGGATGCATATTCAGAAGTAAAGGTGATCTGCAGAGGCAGGTGTTTGGTTGGTAAATTAAAGCTAGAAGATTGTCCACTCTTAAGGGAAACATGATTCACTACTAGGTGTCAACTCCTAACCTGCTTTCAGTAGTAAAATTGTTCCATTTTCCCACTTTGCTTTTGTAGCTGTTTCCCTGCCCATCACCCTAGTTATAGGTTTTATCTATAGTTATGAAATTCCAGCAAATTAAAAAAAAACATAAATAAATGTTAAATATGGACTCGGCTGCCTTAGTTGTTGCTTGGAAGCTTAATTGATTTAATCTTGGAATAAATATCAGAAGAATCTGGGTTTATAAATTATGACTTCAAATGTGTTCCAGTCTTCTGCATTGTGTATTTACACACCTGTTTTAAATAACTTTTATAGTTATTTTGAGTTATGAAATGAAAGCTACGTAAAGTGAATTCAATTTTGGCCTTAATATGTACATAGAAATGAGATTCTAAGTATGTATGCAAATCCTCATTGGAAAAGCTGCACTTCATGAACTGTAGTTCTGAACTTGGCTATGAAAATGCTGAGGTAGGCATGGAAATGAAGTCAGCTTAACCTGTTGAAATGTGTCTCTAAGATAAGGAGAGAAAGTAATCCTCTCTGCTTTCTAGCAGGTTTGCAGTGTGCTCAATTGGGTGTGCTTAGCATGCCATCCACTTCATGAGCCGTAGAGTTCAATAGCAAGTGCAATAGCATCACCTTGTGGTTAGTCAGAATATAATAGTCCTTCACAGAAGCACTCCATTTTTCCTTAGACTACTTGTGAAATCATGTTGTTTATACCCACTTTTTAAAAAAAAATCAGCCACGTTTTTCATAAGCAAATATATAGAGAGAGTAAGTGTGTATATGACATGCAGGTATACATGTGTGTGTGTATATATATATATATATATATTTTTTTTTTTTTTTTTTTTACATGGTGAAGTAGGTTTCTCTTTGAACCTTCTAAGTCCAGGTGACTGCTGGGATAGTCTTGCCCAGTTTCATACCAAGTCTGAAAAGTTTGGAGGCTTCTTTAAGATTCTGAAATCCATCCTACAACTCATATTGACTTGTGTAACAAGCTTGATGTATTCCTGTCAATTTTAGTCTGATTAATGTTAACTACTATTCCAGTATAAAATTTGTTTAAGTCTTGATGTAGTATTTTCCAGCAAACTATGTATTACTTATTTCATGTGGCCTTTTTCCAGCTCACTTTTGTTAATACCTGGAAGATATACCTGAGGAGATAAATATCCCTGTATCTTTCCAGTGTGGAGAGAGTGGGAGTAATTGTGTATTTATATAAAAATGATTAAAAATTTTTTTTAGCATGCTGATGGGAAGAAACCTGTGCATTGGCTTTATATTACAGGCAAAGTTAGAGGATTAGCTTAAATTTGGTCCATATCCAGGAATACTATTTTTGCAATACATTGATTTACTGAAGTTCCCATTTTTTTCTTCACATTTGTTTCACATACATGGTCCTTGTTATCTTTTCAGAGGATGCCAAAAAAATCAAGCGATAGTGCCTGCGCATGAAAGAAAAGAGAAAATAAACTTAATTTTTCAGTTACTAATTGGTAACACTTAGCACTGTAGAAGAGTCATAATTCCCTTAGTGTAATGTCTGAGTGGCCAAAACTTTCTACCGTAAATCTGGAGGAACTTCTAAAATTTGTTTTCCAAACTTTGGAAAAGACTAGTATTTCTTTGATCTTAATGTATAAACGTGGTTCTGTCAGACTTCAGTCTTCTGAAGAATCATTCTATATGAATAATTCAATTTCTTCTCCTCCTCCCTGCTCTGCAGATGCCTTATGATTAGTAATTTCTAGGAATAAGATTATGTGATGTAAAAATAATAGCAGAATTGCAGACCAGCTGGTTTATTTTCATAAAATGTCTCTTGCCATGATATTGAAAAGGAGTAAATGAACAGGAGGACTTATTGTAATCTTTCTGTATTTTACACAGAAAGTAATTTTAACAAATTGGGTCTCCAAAGGTCCTCCAACTAAATCACTGGATTTATAGCTTGTTTCTGATGCTAGTTACAGAAAAGCTTATTCCTGTCCACTAGACCAAAGCTTTTCTTTTTGAAACTTCTGGGATCTCCAGCTTACGTATACACTAGACTACTGGGGGTTCATTATTTGGCTACTTTCCTCTGAGCCTGGTGTGGTGTGAATGTGGATTTTTGTAGCAGTGACTCCACAGAGCTGCTGAATCCTGTAGTGTTAGTAATTATCCCAGCCTGTAGCTTGGTTCAACTTCTGAATGCAGAAATTGAAGTGGGGAGCAGCTTGATTATTTTATTCTACTGAGAACTTCAGAGTTCATGTAGATATTTTTAAAGTAATTAAGTTTCTAGATGGAAGAAAGTCTTTCTCAGAAGAGCAGAAATGGACATTATTTAGTCTACGGGAGTAACTATTTCTAAAAATGTCAGATTCAATTTCAAGTTCTAACAATTAAAACCAGAACAAAATAGAGCAACTGTCCCTATGTTATCATTTCGTCAAATGCACTTAACTGTTTACCCCTCCATCATTCCTGTTGAGCTGGAAGAGAGAAGAGATTGGAAGAGCAGCCTTGTACTCTTTAGAGGGTAAGATTTCCTGTGGGGAATTGGCTCTGATTAGTATTACCGCAGAAGGTCATGTTCATAGTGATTTTTGAACCAACACATTTTACCTGGTGGGGAATGAAGAGCATGTCTGCTGTTGGGTAAATTGTTCTGTTGACATGTGCTAACACATTGGATTTTAATAACCTGTTCTGATGCAGTCTCCATTCACAAAATATTCCTCTTTTGAACTTTTTACTATAATTTTTTAGCTTAGTAAAAGCATCTTCTAATGCTTTATTATTTTTAGGAGCAGAATAACGCATTGCAAAATATGTGCAAGAAAATGAAAGATATGGAGGTGGAACACAATGATTGTACTGAGCTGCTGAGGCGCCAGGCCAACGAGCTTGAATATAGTGCTGAACGAGAGGAGCGACTTAAAAAAGAACTTGAAGTAAGGTTTTTTGATTATTGCTATTAGTCTCAACAGCACTGACACTCTGAGCAAGTTCATTTTTGAGGGATGGAACATCCCACTTAGGCTGTGAATTCTGTATACTGGATTAACAAAATGTTGAACATCTGTTTCGCAGAAGAGGCTGAACTGATGAATGCCACTTACACTGTGTGCCTGACTTGAGACTGGTGTTTGAACAGCAGATGGGAAAAGGTTTATGTAAGCATGAAAACAAGGCTAACTTTACTTTAGGAACTGTGTACATTTTCCCTAACCTCTTAATTTGTCTATCTTCCTATCTTTTTTGCTTAAGAACAGATTTTGAGAATTAGTGATTTTGCAATGGAGAATCTACTGGAGCTGAGAAAGTCACTAGATGTTGTGCTAGGTAGAAAGAATAGCATACTGGAAGATCACAGTGGTGTTATGGCAGCCTCTTCCTATCTAGACTTAAATCCCACAGATAGTTTTAGTTTGCCTGTCTGTTGAGTGACACCCATTGCTGAGAAGTCTCAAGTCTTTAATATCTTGTAAATGTGTCCTTTTGTTAAACTGCTAGTTCTCTCCTAAATTTCAACATTCTGTTCAGTGATAGGCTTTGTATTAACGATATTATCTGTATGTATAGTCTGGACCAAGACTTTCTTGGTAGAACATTTGTCACTGCAGAAGAGCATGGTGACCAGATGATTCTTTATCCTGATGTAAGTTTTCCACCAAAGGCATCTTTAAATATTTTCTACACTGAATTCTAAAGAATTGACACTTGTGGGTTATTGGGAGCCCTTAAAGGAATAAGTGACATACAGTTTTCAGCCATGCTTGTTCTCTGTTATTTTTTCCCTAAAGGCAAAAGAAGTGTTTAAAGCATCGATTCCTAGGTAGGTAGAGTGCTGCATTAAAGATGAAGTACAAAAGAAAATTCCTTCAGGGAAGAACAAAGCTCATCAGCTAAAAACACTGACTTATTGACCAACAAGGTAGAGTTTTGTGCCCTCAAAGACATCTACAGGAAATCTATTGTCAGGTATTGTGAGCTGCACATATTGGCCTAAGCAGAATTACCTTCAGTTGGAAAGTGCTGCGTACTGTGAAGTTCCAGTAGACCTTTTAAAAACAAAGATTTTTGCTTCCAAGAGCTTGAACAAGGGCTTTTTTTGTGCCTTCATGGCTTTTAACATATTGACATAGGCATCATGAGCTGAAAGGAGGAGGAGATTTGTCTTTCTAAATATTGTAATTGGGTGTACTCACTATCTGTATATTTGAAAAGGAAGCTTTTAGTTCCTAGAAAATGTGTAACTGCTATGCCATGGAGATGATTTTTATCAGGGAATGCTATCTATTAACCACAATCAGCTAAGATATTTTCATTGCTGCTTAATTTTTATTAAATTCTTTAAACTTATTGAATCTTTCAATAATGTTGTGAGAAAATGTATGTGAGATATTCAGACTACAGAATAATCAGTCTTGTGGTACTTTTTTTAAGTATAGCTATTTAAGCAGTGATTAAGGGAAGTATGTGATGAAACCTCTTGCATTTGAAAGCTTAAGCAAATTAGCAGGATCCCTGTGAATAAAAAAAAAAGTCTAAGTTAGACAGCAATGCATATGCTTTAGTCAGCTTGCATCTCAGTTTGCTATCTCAAAAGTAATTGGCTGTGTGTATGTCTGAAAGGGTCTACAACAATAACTTACCCATTCTATAGTTGAAGTCAAGGAGAGATTAACTAATGAGCATCTCTGAAAATACCTTTATTCTTTAAGAAGCAAAAGCACTAGATATTTTAAGTTTTCAACATTGATTACTGTAGGCAGCATTGATTACTGTAGACTTCATACTGGATAGCGGACTCAAACTCCAGAGTTTGCGACAACAGCATCATATACATCTTACAGGGTACCAGTACTCTGCATCGCCATTTGTGGAGCAAAATTTGTTCTGCCTTTTCTGTGGTCATGAAAGGCTGCAGGGACTCTGATGTTAAAAATTCAGGTTAATAAAATCTATTTTAAGTTGCTCTCTCACCCGTAATCTCTCTGAAAAATATTATATATGGAGGAACAGTTTAGTATTAACAGAGTGTGAAATCTAGTTGCAACCTTTCTTTGATATATAAATTTGTCATTCCTCTTCCTCTCTTAACTTTCTGGAGCTCAATCAGGCAGAGGCATTATCTGTCATTCACGCTGAAACAGAGTGGAAAGACCTCAACCAAAGGGACCAGATGAGCTGCTCTTCACCTCTGTAGCTCACTTATTGGAGCTTTGGTCTTGGAGGCTGTAAGGGAAGGAAATGGGGGAGTGTTCAAGAACAGGCATTGCACAAAGGAGGGGAAATGAGCACAATCTTCCCTTCTAATTGTGTTTGAAAGAAAGGACTATGCCCTTTTAAAAGGGCATGCTGCATTCCCAAGTAGAAAGAAGTGCTTCTGTGAAGCCTGGAGATTGTTGGGATTTAAACATATTGCTGTCAGTAGAATTTCCTCCTTTCTCCCTTAACAGCTGCCTCACTAGCATGCTAGGTTCTGTGGATCACATTCTTAGTTGCCAGATTCTTCCCATACATTGTGGAAGAGGCATTAAAGAAGGGCACTAAAGTCTGGGCGGTAGTTTTCACTGTGTGCCAACATGCCAAATTCTCCTTGTGTTTCTGCCCACCTGGTATTACTCTCACAAAGTTCTGTGGTGTTCTAGCTGTCAATTTAAAACTCCTCAGTGTATGAAAATAAGTATTACCCACGTTAGAAACATGGATAAAGTTCTGATAACCAGTCCTGTACTTTCAGCTGTGGTTAAATACAACTCATATTTTTGCCTATGATGTCAGTATTTGAGATGGCTCTCTACTCAGATATAGAAACCTTGAAGTAGTACACCCCAGACAGAATCGTTTACATTTTTCATGAATTAGCCCTGTATTTCTTTATCTGTCTTCATGGAATTTTTAGCTTATAGATTGAAATTCGGCTTTTGTGGGAAGATGAACACAGGAGACGTCTTATTTAAATTTCTGTGCAGAGTACCTTGTGTTAATGGGCATTTAGTTAGAAAATGTGTACTTAAGTTTTTGATGGCAGCAAACTTCTTAAGCTGATTTCCATGAAGAGTAGTGTAATTCTAATTAAAAGGTAATCTTCCGTTACACGCTACTTCTTGATGTGCAATGAGGATGAACTTTTTTTGGAGTTCACAAAGCTGTGCCTTTACTACCCTCTGCTGGACATAAGGGAGAAGACCATAGGAAAATACTTGCGTTGCAGTAATGAAAGGAAATGGTAAATTTAGAATCTTTTTCTTTTTATACAATGGAACTTTTATGAGGAATTATATCTAATAGACTGTACTAGTGAAAAGAAGGTGAAAAAGCCTTCTCCCCCCCTTTTTTTAAAATTTTTTTAATGTGAGTCTGGTTTTATGCTTCAGTCATTCTGAACATGATCTAAAAGAGGACATTTCTAGTTTCTGGAATTAGAAATGAAGAGAAAGAATAACGGCAAGTTTCTGTGGACTCTTCATTGAAAGATAACTGTTGGTACAGTGTCTAACTTGCTAGTTTTCCAGTTTGCAGTGACACCAATGTGGTATACCATTGCACAGATGTGGAGTCCTTCTGAAGTGGAACACATACTTACTGTACCAGAAAAATTTAGATTGGGAACCCTATTATCATTCTGCCTTTTTAGTCTAAGTTTCAGTAGTTGAACAAATTCTTGATGTATTTGTATTGAACTCATCAAGATACTACTATTTATGAGTCAGTTTCCTGGAACCAGCGTCTTTTATTTTAGCCTTTAGCTCCATTGCTCTGGAAAGATGATTTCTTGGGAAATATAGAGCAATTTGTATATAAAAATAGTGTTTCTTGTGATGTGTCTAGCTGCCAAAAAGCTGGGTGGGAAAGCTGTTTGACAAACAGTGGAGGAAAGGGGAATGTGGATTTTACCATGAGAAACAGAATTATTAGTTCATAAATTTCAAAATCTTTGTCTTGTGCACAGAAGTGTAGTGATTTTGTATTGTTTGTTTTATGTGTTTGAGGCTGCCAACTCTTAGTAAGCTGGAGCTCAAGGTCTCTCAAGTTTTTAAGCCTTTCTCATGAGGCCTGAAAAATGTCCCATAACTTGGTCCATTTTATTTCTGAGACTGAGTATGTTGCCGTTTTTCTAAGAGTTTGAGTTACCATTTAAAGACCATTCCCTTAGCTTTCACGTTGCCTTTCCTGCTCCCTGCCTGTAAGTATATTGACCTTTTCATGTCCTGCTAAATGTGTTATCTTGTATTAGCTTGGTAATGCTGCTGTGTTGGGGAGATGACTGCAAAAACGACTTGAGTGATGGTCTGTCTGTATTTGCAGAAGGTATATGTACATGCAATAGTTTAAGGCTGTGGGTGTATTAAATTTCTTACTGTATCTAAGTCAGTGAAACATGAAATTTAGGTCCCAGCTAAAAACAAAACAAAACCCCCCAAACCCACCGACCTGCTTTTTCTCCTTGTTATTAATTTTACCATGAACTGCAGTATTATGTAAGCTATAGTTCTCATAAAAAGACTTGAAAAAACTCCAAGCAGTGCAAGAGAGAACAGATTCCTCAGCCTCTTAACAGTGCTACTGGTTAAACTTTAAACTACTTTTTGTCTAGTGTGACCACATACTTCTTGATGTCTTACCCCTACTTAATCCTCTGCTTTCTAGTGTCTCCACAATGCACAACTGGCACCTAGGAATTCTAGCTACTGTGACTGTCTTGTATATCCTCTTAGCACTGCAATTTTCATAACAGTATCTCTGTGGTGGCTCCAAAGTTCATGTTTCTCCAGTGAGATGCTCACTGACTTAATAGACTTTGTCTCTGAGAGGAGCTTCCTCTTTATTATGTCTTCTATGATCGAATTATTCAAGTCCAGTTTGAAGGCTGTTCACTGTTACCTCACTATCAGACTGAAGTTGTTTGAATACTGTTTTATGTAGCCCTCACCAGGAGTTAGTA